CTGTACCCAGTGTGTTTTTCAAGCCACTAAGTCTGGGATTTGAACCAGGAAGTTTACCCTCTGAGGTCCAGCTGCCTTAACCTACATACCATCTACTGGCCCCATGAACTATCTGTTTTAAATTGTAAACACTATGAGAACATTACAATAGTCATTTCATAAAAGACCTAATTTGAATGCTTCTCAGGTTCTCAGAAAAGTAATCAGGAAATGATCTGTGCAAACAGTATTCAGTTGGATTTTTTTTTTTTTTTAAATTGAAGCAAAAGTGGCATGCAGAAATTCACTGTGCTGAGCTCAGAATAGTCTGGCTCTGCTGATAGTGCCTCTGCGATGGTTTTGTATATTGATGGGATACAAAAGTGACCCAACAAAATTCAAATTTGATGAAAATATTTATGGAATGGAGCATTCTAATTAAATGAGGTGTCTTGGTTAAATAATACTTGAACAGAAAACATTTGTTGCCGCTCTTGTTGAAAAGCTTACAGAAATTATTAGTGCATGCCCTCCTTCAGTGAACAGAGTATCATGACGATAGCTGACACCGTGTTTGGCAGGGATCACAAACTTAAATACCTCGGGGGTCAGGTGTGAAGGCAGCTCAGTCAGAGCATATACCAGAGAGGCCAGACGGTGGTAGTGGTCATCGCAGTGCTCTGTGAGGCAGTCCTACATGGGAGGTGTTCCCAGTTCAAGCACAGAAACCTCCCTGAGTACACCAGGCATGATCCGGGGCTCGGTTAAAGGCAGGGGGTGGATTGTGGCATCAGGACCCTGTTGGGGGCGTTGCCTCTGTCTCTTCCTTTCTCTCTCTCTCTTTCCATCTCTCTCTGCCTCTCTGACTCATGGAAGGAAAAACCTTGGGGAAAAAAGAGCACATACAATATCCCAGCATCTAGCCTTAGTGATGGCCTCCTAAATGTTTTCCATTAGGCAGTCCTGTGGTATCTGTCCCTTTATGTTCATGTGCCACCCAGCATCCCAGTGAACTGTAGGTGTGGTTTTACTTCCAGTTTATAAATGAGAAAAAGGCAGCACCAAAAAGATCAAAACCTTGTCTGCAATACACATCCTTACTTAGTGCCTACAGTGGTTGCTCAACATCAGGACGGAAATCCCAACTCACTGCCATCTGGTTAACAATGACAGAACAATCAACGGAAGCCTTCACACACATTAACCCACCTAATCCCACCAAAAATGTAGAGGTAGATACTAGTATTTCTACTGGTTTTATGCATATGGAAACTGGACCCCAAAAAGGTTAAGACAGCTACTCAGTGTCATATAGCGAGTAATTGCAGAGCTAGGAGTCGAAGCCCTAGGAGGTCTGTTTTGCAGAGCCTCTGCTCTTGGTTCTTAGTGGCAGCAATATTGGCTCTCCCAGGACTCAGTCCTGTCTGGGGACATTTTGATTGTCACAACTGGGGAAAGAGGGTGCTAGTGGCACCTAGTAGGCAGAGGCCAGGCTAAACATCCTACAATGCACAGGGCAGTCCCTTCCCCCAATAAAAACAGTCCTGCCCCAAATGTCAATGGCATTGCTACTGAGAAACTCTGGTCTATGCGATCATCACCAAATAACCAGGTAGAGAGAAAGCAGGCCGTCGGGATAGATGCATACTGACAGCACATAATTTAAAGTTTCAGCACAAGATAAATCTCTGCTGTCAGATTGCTTCCATGTCATTGGTCTCTCTCCTCTAAAACATGAACTTTAAAATTAACCCAGATAATTTATAGTTTATTTAACTAAGTTGTTGGAGTGTTTATACCTTCTTATAATACTCAGTTCAACACATTCTGTTATACAAAAGTTTTCTTTTATGAATCTTGCCTTGATAAAAAGAATCTTAAACACTTTTTTTATCCACCTACATATTCACATTATTAAAATTCTACCATATAGCTCTATACAGTTATCTCTTTAACCAAATTTGTTCCAAATGAACCTCTCTTACCTCCTCTTCCCTCTGACATTTATAAGTTACTTCCCACAGGCTTAATTACTTAGCAGCTGTCTTGGTATACTACTTTCCCTTTTCCCTGTTTTCACCCCGAAATGCCTGCTATATCTAGTAATTATTTTCAGAGTTTAGAGAAACACTATGTGATGAGTTAGACGGAGGGAGAGCAGCTTGGAGGAACAGTGACGTCAGCAGGAGAAGACAGCTGGATGAGAGGGAGTAAGTTCTCCTGACAGTGAATTCAAGACATAAAAGATTAAATACTTAACAGATAATATGCTTCATGGAGGAAAGGGGAAGGGGCTTCAGCCCTGGCAATTCATCCACAAGTCTCCTGTCAGCAGTGGTTTGTTTAAACATCTGCTATGCATTTGTGATTTTAAAAATGTGTCTTAAGGTACTTGGGATTTTCTTATAAAACAGATTTCTCTCTAGGGTTCAAAATATGTGTTCTTTTAGACTTAAAAATCCAACCAACATTTTTAATGAGCTCCTGACAAAACTAGAACATTCTAGATCTAAATTTTGTGTACTTTTGGTCAATGTTACTTCCTGTTTTTGGAAGAAGAAAAACGATTAAGAAAGCTCCAAAGCTGCTTACATTTTAGACTGTTCTTTAAATAATGATTTTATATGAGTTAAGTATAAGCTGGTTAAAAAACATACGGATTAAATTTTCCTTAAAATATGAATGGTTTTAACAATTAAGAAAGCTGAGTGTTTGACAAGTTGTGGTTATTTTTTGTTATAACATAAATATTTGAAAAGAAGTTGTTGCTATTTTTTTAAAAGTTTCCAATATATTTAGATTTACCTTGCCTTTACTCATTCACTTTAATTTACTAGCATTATGCAAATTGCCCCAAATCTATTTTAAGATTATGTATTTTATTAAAAACAAGGAATAAGAATTTAGCTGGCAGAATTTATAGTTGGGGGATTTCTTTTGTTCTATTACTTTAACAATTCTATTCTTAAGAATTGCTCTGGGCAGAATTTTTCCTTTAGGCAAACTCATGTGGTAATACTTTATAAGACTCTTTTGAAATTGGTGTCATATCACATTTAAATGCAACTCATGAAAATTTGATTTGTTTTTTTTCACTATAATTATAGATGACATAGAAATAAAAGGATACTGCTATGGTTTCTCATATTTGTAATAGTATTCTTAAATGCAAGGCTGTATCTTATGCCTGTATCTATAAATGTATTATTGTGGGTCATAGAACTTAGGCTCCAAGTTAAGCTAGTTAAGTTAACTCTTTTACTATGTTCACACGGTTGCCAAAATACAAAAATGTTAACCAAGATGGTGTAGCAAAATTTTCCCTCAAAGAAAACACAATTAACACTGGAGGGGTCAATGGGGAACAAAAACTATGGCGTGATTGAACTTGAATCGCATGACAGTTACTAGGTTCAGTCACATAATCTAGGCTCATTCAAGTAGGGACCCCCACACAGGGAGAGACTACTGAAGTCTAGCATCATTTCAGAGAGAGTGTCTAGCCTTGAACTTATCATTTGAGACAATCATCTTAAGTGCGCTTGCCAGAAAGACAGACAGAGACAGAGAGATAGAAAACGAGAAATCACCCCTCAGGGGGCATGGCCATGCCTCAATCCCTTCTCCTCCATTCTCCTCTCAGGATCTTGGGCACGCAGACACACATGCCCAGTGTGAGTTTAAGCCACCAGGTCCAGGACTCAAACCATGGTCGACTACATGGGAGTTCAGCAACACAGCCATTTCGCTAACTGCTGGTCCCAATCATCTTAATTTCTAAAAAAGCGCTTATATAGAGAAAAATGCCAGTGTTTTATCTAACTACATAACTTGAGAGCAATTTTCATCATTGCTCATATTTTCTAAATTTTAATATTTTCATTATTTACAATAGAGCATGTGCATGCACATGAGCGACAGACAGAGAGAGGGAGAGAGAGGAGGGCAAGCCCTCCACCAGGTTTGGTCATGACACAACTGCCTTATCCCAGTAGTCGAGCTTGTGGGCTCCTAAGCATTGGCACATGTGCCTGGTGTGTTTCCGGCAAACCAGGCTGGGGATGCAAAGTAAGGTCATTACCCAGCATCCAGCTTCTCTTTAGTGCGTTACTGCTGTGCCACAGAGCCGGTCCCTCTAAGCTTTTTTTCCCTTCCCTAATCATCCTTAGCTTTCTCAGTCTCAGAAAAATACGTCACAGTTGGCTCTCAAGTTTCATTTATTGAAGTAAAACATGTTTATAGTATATAACATGACAAAAAGATTAAGCATAACAATGAGTTGAGAGAGATGTAACCCACACCTTGTTTAAGCAGCTGTCAGTAAAAGTCATAGTGGCCACTCTTTCAAAGAATCCACTCTAGGCAAGAAACTACACTAAATAGTTCATATACGATTGTTATCTTTGTAATCTTGCCCACAATCATGGAAGACAGGTACCGTCGCATGTTACAGAGGATGGAAGTGAGAACTTACGTAGTAAAGTGACCAACACGGGATCTGGGTACAGGGTTTTCAGCCTCTAAGAAAGTTTATGCTATATCATGTTATTTATCATAAATATGTATACACATACATATGTGTATAGGTTTATAGGTATGTGTGTGTGTGTGTATATATATGAAATACGCACATATATCTATTTCAATACTTGCTACTAAATTGTGCCTCATACTATGATTGTCATGAATGTCCCTAATTCTGAATATTACATTTTCTCAATTCCAGTAAGTTTGATGCTAACCTAAAGAGATACTGGTCACTCTTCATACTATGTTGACTCAGCCCTCTTCACTTTTCTCAGTTATAGGTTTTTATGTAGCCTTTGTCTATCAAATATCCTTAATACATTCATACTGATGTTATGTTGAAAAGAGTTGAAGTGTTTCTAGTAGAACCATAATCCTTTCCTAGTAAGTATATTGTCGTGTCAATCATGTTTTTTCTTCATATTAGATCCTTGGATATGCGTGGGATTGAACTACTAAATTTTACTCCTTTTTTATTTCATTTTCCATTACAGGAACATCCCTCTCTAGGTCAACTTTCAGAAAAATTAATAGACAACAACATTAATGTCATTTTTGCAGTTCAAGGAAAACAGTTTCATTGGTATAAGGTATGCTAATTCTTAAAGTATGGAAAAATTAAAATGCTTGCAGTGATCATTGAAATTAGAATACTTTTTTGAAAATCAGATAAGGATTCTAGAATTTCTATACATTGCACACACTAAGTTTATAACTGCTTTAACTAAACTATACAGCAGTTCTCCCTGTCCGTGTGTTTATAAGACCCCCCCCCAGTGAATGCCTGAAACTGTGAATAGAACTGAACCCTACGAATACTATGTTTATCATATTTATAGTATTTTCATGCCTATGATAAAGCTACTGTACAAATTAGGCACAGATTAACAATAATAAAATATTGAGCAATTAAAATAATAAAACTGTAATAAAAGTTATGTGAATATGACCTCTCTCTAAATATTATACTGTATTCACCTATTTTCAGTGGATGACAAGTAACTGAAACTGCAGAAAGCCAAACCCCAGCGGAAGGGGGACTATTGTACTTTACAGTGTCTTAAATTAGCCTGTAGGTATAAATTCCACCTACGTTTCAAACAACTTTATTAAGTGCGTGTACTCAGTGCTGTTTGAGAATTATACTCAGTACACACGGAATCACTCTGACACTTAAGTTGGCACTGAATGAGACAATAATGAGGATTTTTAAGGTGACAGTTCATATTCCATCTCTACCCTTCGTGTCCAGAGTCCTACTAATATTCAGGTCTGTGGGTATATGTGATGGTAGGTAAATTTGGAAGACTGTTTAATTTGCAATAGAACCAACACACCTAGCTTTGGTATCGATCATCTAATAAAGGACAGAGAGGAGTCATGAACGTGGCTGAGCCTGTCAAAGCCTTCTTATCTAAGAACAATTTCAGAACCCGTGCGCTAGCCTAACCCACATACTGAACAGACATAGGACAGCTATGTCACACTGGAGATGCCACAGACCCTTCCCCCCAACAAAAAACTGCTGTTTGCCGACAGTCTCTTTTCAGTCTATTAGGTTCTTCATTTCCATGATACTGTGATACTCTAATGTCTATTATGTATCTCTTTTTCATGGAGTCATCTTCATCACCTTTGCTGTCTTAGCTATCTTTGCTTCCTTCTACTCCCTAACTCTAAGTCCTCAGTGGCCAGTGGTCAGGGCCCTATACTTATGTTTTAAAACTGCTGAGAAACTACATTTTCTCTCCTACTTGTATTTTCACAAAGTTGGCATTCCCCCCACCAGTTTCCCTAATGCCTAACTACCATATTTACCATCTGAAAGCACTATTTTAATCATATCACTTCTTCTCTTAGAAATGTCCAGTGGAACTATTTAATTCCATGTTTTAACAAGTTTGTATACTATGGAACCACTTTTTAATGTAACAATACATTTATATCCATAGAAGTAGGGCTCCAGCCCAACCTAAATGGCCGGACGAACCACTTTATTAAAAACAGTAACAGCTTCCGCTTATTGGATACTTAATTATTGTCAGATGCTGAGTTTATAAACATTATTTCATCTAACCCTCTTAATAAGTCAGAACAATGATGGTAGAATGATTAATATGCCTAGTTTAAAGATGAAGAAACACATTTAGGGAAGTTAAATACTTGCCCAAAGTTGCTAACAAGTACTGTGCTCTTTTTCTTTTTTTTGGAGAGGTTTTTGGTATAGATCACATGCACTCACCAGAAAGACAGAGACAGAAAGCTAGAAATCACCCCCCAAGGCGGATGGCCATACCTCAATCCCTTCTTCTCCATTCTCCTCTCGAGATCTTGGGCACACACATGCGTCCGGCATGAGTTTAAGTCACCGGGTCTGAGACTCGAACCACACTCAACTACATGGGAGTCCAGAGACATAGCCATTACACCAACTGCTCGTCCCTCAATACTGTGCTCTTCTTAACCCCCGAGCTTAATAGCTGACTTTCAAATACCATGCAGCTTTTCATAGCTTTTGCCACCTCTTGCTCTGTTGTTTATATATTGGTGGTATTATTGAATCTAGTAGTTTCTCCCTACTCCTTTTCAAATTTACCAATGATTTGGGCTAGACAGTGGTGCAACAGTACAACGTGACCCCCTGCAAGGCTAACCGACGTGGGAAGTTTCTGGATTTGCATCCAAAGACCTCCCTGATTAGCCAGGCACGCAGATGCCCATGATCTGGGGCCAGTTGAAGCTGGGGGTGGACTGCAGTGTCAAGACGCTACTGGAGGTGCTGTTTATCCTCTTTCTCATTGAAGAAATAACAGCAACAACAAAACCCACCTCCCAAAAAATTACCACTGACTGATGAACCATAAACCAGGTTTACTGTTAATTAATTGTGCACAAAGTAAGAATCAACAGTTTCCAAAAGTCTGATAAGCTCTGCTGCGTCCTGAGCGTGTCCTACTTCAACTGCCCAGAGACCTTTTTTTTTTTTTTTTTGAGCGTCTTTAATCTGCATTGTAGCATCCTCAGAATTGATCTGCCAAATCCATCCTCCAGCTCTCCAGCTGCCTGCCAGGAGGATCTGTTGAAATCACAAGTGCAACCACAATACTCCACAGAGTAAAAGATTCCAGTGGCTCCCTCTGATTTAGAGGACCAAGTCTCTACTATGGCACATGAGGCCATCTGCTGTCTGCTCGCCTCTCTCGCCTCATTCCCCCACTATTCCTTGCCTTGCACTTGTTCCTCCAGGCATACGTTTAATCTTCCTGTGCACACACACTCATCAGGGGGTTTCCTTTGTGGCTTTGTTCTTGCTCACCTCCACCCCCATGCTTGGAAGCTGTTCTCCCTCCTTACTTGGTTAACTCTTGCTAGGTAGTCCTCTTGTTAGGGTCTGTGCATATCTTTATTGCTTCCCATGCGCAGTGTTTTGTGAAGCTCATTTATATGCCTGCGAGATCCTTAAAGATGGAAATGATATTGCCTAGCAATTTAGCATCTTCAAAGTGGTATGCAAAAGGTGTTCAATAAGTAGTTGGGAAAACGAATTTAAATCTATGAGAGACACATTTTCCCAGTGACTTGGGATACTAATTGTTAATGTGTAAGTAGTAGCTGGCATAAAGCAGGAACAAAAGTAGTTGCAAACAGAAAAATGAGTGACTAAATGGATCTCAAGACTAAATATGCACCCTTCACTCTAGTCAGACTGCTTTCTTCTCTGTTCTTGCTTCAGCTATAACTCAGGTAGACCTTTAAGCCTCTGTTCATTCTCATTTTCTCCCTAGAAATATCTAGTCTTCTCTATAATTACTAAATATCATCCATAAAGAACATCTACTCTATGACATTTCCACTCGTGGCAATGATTTTTCCTGTAGCTTGGCCCTACAAGTACTAAAGGTCATTCCATGGAACGGCAGTTCTATATATCAGTATATGCCACATGACAAAGAGTTTGGTAATTTAAGACTATTAGAAAAATGCTGCATTAGGGGCCAGCAGGTAGCATGGTGGTTAAGGCACTGGACTCCCACGTGGTCGACTGCGGTTCAAGTCCCAGACCTGGCAGCTTGCTTTCTTGCTTTCCCTGTCTCTCTCTCTGTTCCTCTCTGGTCAAATTAAAACAAACAAACAAATAAATAAATAAAACAATTCCTTTTTTAAAATGCTGTATTAAATAATATTAAATTATTTCTAAATTGTAGGCCTACTCTGAACCTTTTAATTTGTAAACACACATTATGAGTCTCTAAGTGGAAGTTTGCAGAACTTAGCAAACCTATTTGCCCTCGTTTAAAATTTCTTGAGGCTATGTTCTATGGAAAATGTCAGTCTATATTTTAATTGGCATTTTAGGTCATCATGTAATTCAAGCTGTAGACACGTACATTCATGCACACGCACATACACACATACATAATACCATTTCGGAGATATGTTTTGGCCACCCTACCTACTAGGCTACTAATATTTTTCTTCTTTTATTGTTTTCATTCATGTAATGGCTCAGTGGAAGCACTAATGACTACAAAAACAAATTAATATTGTAGAGTGATAAGCCATTTTGCCTCTTACTAGCATTATGTAAATGTTACTGATTTGTTTGATAGGATCTTCTACCCCTCTTGCCTGGTACCATTGCTGGTGAAATCGAATCAAAGGCAGCAAACCTCAATAATTTGGTAATAGACGCCTATCAGGTATGTTCAGTATGCACGACTTCTTTTTCAGATCAACTTTTAACCCTGATTTCTATGGTAAGGTACAAACTAGTGCCTATCGTCTTGAGAGGAGTGGTCGAGAGGACAGGAGACTCAGAAGTGGGCGTCACCAGCTCGCCACGACACCCTGGGAAAGTCGCTTCTGCTGCCTGTGCCTCACTTGTGTCGCTGGCAATAAACTAAGTTTGGGGTAAAGGCTATCTGAATTTCCTTCTCCATCCAGTGCTCAGGGAGACACCAAATCATGGGTAGAGAATGTACTTTATTACAAGAAATTGCACAATTTCCTGTCGTAAAGATAAAGAAGTCCACACTTACTTAAAGCAACAATCTGCCGGGGAATGTGAACCATCTGACAATACAGAGATTTGTAAGAGGACGCCCGGTTGGGGTCTTCATGATCAATCACTTGAGTGTTCAACCAACGATTTTAAAAGTTTTATTAAAATCACTGGATGGAAAGAACCACTTTAATAGGTATACTGTTGAACTGAACTGACAGTTTCGTTCTGTCACCAATCCTGTAAAGAGTCAATGCCTAAATACAAAGAATTCTAAGAAACATCTGCTCTCACAACCTGAGTCATTCCTGGATAGAACAGTCGCTTTAAGATGGCATTATAATAGTGACTGTTACTTTCATACCACTAAGAACCAGTCACTTTCCATACATGACCTCGTTTAATCCTCACACCTGACTTAAAAGGCAGGTGTGTGCACTCCCATATGTAGCTGTAGAACCCAAAGTATGGAGAGGTTAAACAATTAGCCAGAGGCCACATAGCTAATAATCAGAAGCAGCTGGATCCGAATCCAGGTGTTCCTCAACTGCGGGCCCCAGGTGCTTCCTCCTGTACGATACCACCTGTTCTTTATTTTCTGTTTTGTAATTTTTTTTAACATAGTGTCAAACGATACGCCTTATTCTACCTCGAATTAATGGGCCAATTACAAAGTCCCCCTTCCCCAAATTCTCTGACTCCCCCTCTGACACGTACAGCTTAATAGTGTACATAGTAGCCAAAGCGCTGAAAAGCCTCAGGCCACTTCTTCTCTGCTTTTCTCCAGGCAGCACCTGCCTTAAATCTGCGTACAGCAGAAAAAGGCAGGAAGTAAACACAGGATATGAAATGGAGAACTTACTTCAACTTTCTTCTCTTAAAAAGAAAATAAATCTTGCTAGATTTGTTTTTAACAAAGATTTTTTTCATGTCTGAAAACTACAGTGAATGGAATAAGGAAGAGCATCTTGAATTACATTTCTTTCTCACTGTTAAAACAGGCACATTAGGACTAGGAGAACTTCTTACTCAGGAAATCAAATGTATATATATTTCATTCCCATCCGAAGTTTATCTCTAAGAATAATCCAAGAAAGGAGCTCTTTTCAATGATTAAAGGAGCAGGCACTGTTAGAAGTTATCCTGTTTTCATAGTATAAACTTTCTATTACCCTAGAAAAGGCATAGGTAAAAAAATTGACATTTTTACCTGTGGATCAGGCTGCACCAACGGCAAAGGAAACAGCGACATTTTGTTCCGTGTTCCTTACCTGCCCCGGACAGGTCTGGGATGCCTTAGTCTGTTGTAGTTCTGGTTAACCTGAAACGGTAGAAAAATACTAGTTGGGGCCAGTAGGTGGCGTGGTGGTTAAGAGCGCTAGACTCCTACATGGCCCACCGCAGTTTGAGTCCTGGACCTGGAGACTTACTTTCTCACTTTCTCTCTCTGTACTTCTCTGATAAAATAAATAAATAAAATTAAATAGAATAATTCCTTTTAAAAAATACTAGAAAGTTCAACAAAAGATGTACTCTGGCCAACTAATCTCCTTTAAGTTGGAATTTATTAGTATTTTTATAAGTCTATATTTTTAAAATTCTGCCAGTTTGTATTCACATTCCAGCAAAAATAATTCACAATTTGTTAAAGAATTATACACCAGGAAAACACAGATTCTGCCTCTGTATCTATTTGGTATTAAAAGGGGAAATTAAAATTGTGTATGGATCTTAATTTCTAAATTCCTTTTTTTTAGAGATTTTTTACTATAGGGCATGTGCTCTTGCCAGATAGAGAGAGACAAAGAGACAGAAAGCGAGAAGTCACCCCCCCAGGGGAGATGGCCACACCGCAATCCCTTCTCCTCCATTCTCCTCTCAGGATCTTGGGCATGCATGCACACGCACCCAGCGTGAGTTTTAAGCCACCGGGTCCGGGACGCGAACTGCTGTTGACTACGTGGGAGTCCAGTGACATAGCCATTACGCTATCTGCTGGTCACCTCTTGATTTCTAAATTCTGAAACTAGACAAAATTTAAAGATTTTTCTTCATGCCCTCCTTCAAATAACATTGGCCTAACTAGATTAAGACCTTAAGACAAGCAGAACATCAGAAGGGCAAGCTGAAAACATTTGTATTTCCTTCTGGTCTGTCAAATCATCATATATCAAAATGATTTGTACATTATTGGAAGTTTCTATTAGTTTACCAAAATTATTCAGTTAACGATTGCAGTGTTTAAGTTTTCTGGGAGATAAAAAAAATGTGGTTGACATAGTATTACCTAATCCAATTAATATTTGCAAATTTGAGTAAAGTATCTTGTTCTAAAGCTACATTATCAGAATTCTATGATCAGTTATCAATCAGTAAGCACATGTCTCTTTTTTTGAGAATGATTTTTGCAATAGGGTGCATGTGCCCACCAAAGAGACAGAAAGCTAGAAATCACCCATGCCTCCCCACCCCCCCAGGGAGATGACCACATTGCAATCCTTTCTCCTCCATTCTCCTCTCAGGATTTTGGGCACACATGCACACGTGCCTAGTGTGTTTTAAACCTCCGGGTTTGGGACTTGAACGGTTCAAGTCCAACAAGGTAACTATTATGCCATTTGCCAGTTCCAGCACATGTCCCTTCATCGTTCATATCGCTGAAGAACAATTACTCAAGAATTAGCAGCCACAGGAAATTACTGTTTTTTTCATACCATGTGACACACTATCTTTCATTAGGTACATACCTCATTTTTCCCTTTCTTTTTGTTTATGAGCACAGGATAGTTTCATGTAGTAGTCTCTTAGTTTATAGGACAAAATTTACACAGATATGAAGTAGGTGTTTAAGGTAGACAGACTCAGATACTGTGATGGAAGAAATTTGTGTGCTTGATAAGTCATAGGAATTAAGTAGATGTTTATTGACTGAGTTTATAAAAGGTTGAACAAATGAATGAATGGTTTCCTGTGTGTATAAAGGGTGAATAAGTCAATGAATGGCTTCTTGCCTAGTAATAGGCCCGATTTTGGTATTAAGGATTGGAACAAACTTGATTGACAAAAGCAAGCACCAGGGACTTGATAAAAATTCTAGATCATTTTTGGATAACTTTACAAGACCATATCTATCAGGTAATTCTTATATATACGGTAAAGAAATGGCCTCTCATAAATGTACTATTCAACTCTGAATCAATAGGGCATTTTAGCTTTCATGAGCGTCTAAAGTGTTTGAAACTGCAGTGTTCGAAACTGCAGTGTTCTTCAGCAGCTGTATGTTAAAAAGATATTCAGTATTTTAAGCTGTCAAAATTTACTGTTTGTGATGATATGAGTTTTCAATGTCTTATTTAAACTTTATCATAAAATGTAAATATTATTGTATTAAAAATGATTACTTTTGCAGCATATGGCTGGGTAAGAAATGTCTTTGAAGTGATCAAATGCAATCTTGAAAAAATTGTGAAAAAATTTGAACAATTTAAATGCAGATAATCTAATCCTTCAGTATTTCTTATGTATTGAAAATATAATTCAGTCATTATGTGGAAACACTGTTTTTACTCACCCTTTTATAGAAAAAGACTCTTTGATTAGTTAAAAATGAAATCTAGAATGATTTAATAAGCTTGATTCTGACTTGTTGCTTACATTTGAAACTATATGGTCTGTAATTAAAAATGATGTCTCTGCAGAAACTCATTTCAGAAGTGAAAGTTCAGGTGGAAAACCATATACAAGGGGTCTATTTCAACATTACCGCCATCTGTCCAGATGGAGCCAAAAAGCCAGGCACGGATGGATGCAGAAACGTGACAAGCAATGACGAAGTATGTGGGTGTGCGTTTTTCCCATTTAAAATATACTGAGTTATTTGGCATGTTTTCTCACCAAAAAATCAAACCATTCTGAAAAACCTTACTTACTACTAGCTCCAAGAATCCTTTTTTATACTTCAAAATAACTTTTGTTGTCTCTTCTCAAAGTTCCTACTCATTTTAACTCAATAGACTGTTCTCTCAAACTCTTATGTTAAAGTAGATTTATATTATGTTAAACACCTACATAATAATTATAGCTTCAAACTCTTCAAACAAGTAGTGTCTATACTTATAATAATGATAATGCCTTTTTGGTATCAAATCTGCAAATTCTCAGAGTAAATGTAAAATTGTAAGTAATAAATCACAGAAAAGATTGGGAGTGGTGGAGCAGTTGATGAAGGCTAAGATTTCCCACATCTTTCACTTTGTAATGACTCCAGTACACTCACACTGATCTAGAAGGAGGTAGGGAAATTTATTAAGAACGGTGAAAAACGAGATGTGGCATCATTTAGCTAAAAATGGATGAGATGTAAAGAAGAAAGGCCCAGATTACAAGAACATCAGGAAACAGGATCAGAGGAGATAGAAATTCTCTAAGGACTGGTACAATAGAGACTAACACAGAGAGACACTTTCAAAGGGAATCCTTGTAGGGAGATTTGTAGTGATTTCCAATGAGTTGCCTACCTTTGAGATATCAGCTGCCTCACTTTTTTCCTTTTCTTTTATTTTTTTATTTTTTATTTTTTTGGAGAGGTTTTTGCCATAGGGCGCATGCACTCTCCAGAAAGACAGAGAGATACAGAGAGATAGAAAGAGGGAAATCACTCCCCAGGGGGGATGGCCACACCGTAATCCGTTCTCCATTCTCCTCTCGGGATCCTGGTCACACACGCACACACGCCCGGCGTGAGTTTAAGCCACCGGGTCCAGGACTTGAACTGCGGTCGGCTACATGGGAGTCCAGCGACATAGCCATTACACTAACTGCTGGTCCCTAGCTGCTTCATTTTTAAGTGAATGACTTGGACTAGAAGAGAGATAATCCCTCTTCCTGCCAACTCTAAGGTTCTGTGATGTTCTTTTTCTTTAGAAGTTTTTGCCTTAGAGTGCATGAGTATACACAGGGAGTGAGACAGAGCCAAGAGGGAAAGTGAGAAATCACATCCCGGGGGGATGGCCATGCCACAAATAATTGCTTTAATGCCATGCTATAGAGAAAAAGAAAAAGAGTTATCTAAAAAGATAGAAGGTCTGAAAATTCCTAAGATTAAATAAAAGCCAATTTTTCTTTCTCTTAGAACATATTTTTTCACTCTTTAGGATCTTACAGTCTGCAAGTGGTATAATTATTCTAACAAGCTGTATATTTTAAATTCATCATTGCAAGTTTCTAATTCTGTAATCTCTTACGTAATCACTCCTTGAATTTTATTTCAAAGACATCACATAGCAATTTACAAAAATACACTTGCTATTATTAAATAAAATAAAAAATGTTTACTAGCAAATGATAATACTAAGTTAACTTTCTGGAAAAAAAAATGGTTACCATCTTAGAAATAGTTCTTTCTCTCTTTCCTTTTTTTTTAAGGATTTTTTTTTCCCTCAGGGTGAGTGTGTTCCCCAGAAAGAGAGACACACAGACAGACACAGTAACATGCAAAGTGAGAAATCACCCCTTTCTCCTGCAACCCATGCTGGGGTGGATGGCCACACCAAAATTCTTTCTCCTCCCTTCTCCTCCTGGGATCTTGGGCACACACCTACACACGTCCAGTGTGATTTTCAGGCCAATAGGCCTAGAACTCCAACCGCAGTTGGCCATGTGGGAGCCCAGCAAGGTAACTGCTATGCCTTCTGCTGGTCCAGTAGTTCTTTCTTTCAAAATTTCAGCTTTGGAAGAATACTGTTCTTTACTTTTCACATTTTTTCCCATTTTCTTTGTCTATATCTCTTTTAGTTTCAACCAAGTAATATAAACAATCTGACTCGCAGGAGTAGTCATATGACTTCTTAAAGAAATAAGCCCCAAGTTTTGTTGTACTACTAATAATGGCAGTGACCATATTATCCTATACACACCTGTTAATCCTTACCATCCGTAAAGACAAAAAAATTGAAAATACACCAGATTCATTTACTTTAATGAGGTTGATTCTAATGTCTAAGGTATATATTAGCTTAAATTTGCACTGTTTATCTATTTCCCTATCTTGACAAAAAAGCATAGCATAAATTACTTTTAAGCCATTAATAAATAATTTTTATTATGACTTAAAAGTAATTTATCATATAAATATATCATCTATATACATTTGTGTACACACACACACACACACACACACGGACTTCAAAAAGTTTATGGAAAAATGGAAATAAAGATTTTTTTTTTTGCAAATTGTTTTTGTGATCCATGCCTAGTTTTTTTTCCCAGAATATACATTTTCCATTCACTTTTTGAAGCCACCCCTCCACATGGTGCACAACATTTGTGTATCAACTTATTTGCTAAACTACCAAAAGATGATAACATGGATTGATAAATAGACATATTAAATCAATGATGTAGTACAAAGGAAGAATTAGAGAAAAGGGGAAAATTTGACGATGGAAAGGAACGCTGATATGTTGTGAGAGATGCCAGTTTCTGCAGCTCAGCTCCTTCGGTCTAGCTAACGTCTCCCTCTAAGACAAATGAGCCCTGTATTGAGGTCTTAGCCTCTGAGACAGAAAGTCCCAAACCTGTATTCCTCTGAGTAACATCAGAAAAACCCTCATATCACCTCCATTGACACCCTGTGTAAACCAAATTTAACTCTGTACTCGGGCCACTAGAAAATAGGAAGAAAATAAAAATACCCTATTTTGAACATCTCATCTCAAGATTTTAAACCAGTACAGAAGAAGCCTTTTCTGTTGTTGTTTTTTTTTATGTTTAAAGAATTATTTAATTTTATTCTTTTATTATTATTCTTCAACTTTACCAGAGATTGAGAGAGAGAGCAAGCCACCAGGTCTAGGACTTGAACTGTGGTTAGCCATGTGGGACTCCAGCGTCTTAACCGCCACACCACCACAGTCCCTACAATGCTTTATTTAATCTGTCTCTAATGCCAAATATTCAGTAACTTCACACATTAAAAACTGTGGTATATTCTTCTTTAAATTCGCTAAGAAAATGTCACCAAAGGTAGAGTAGACGCTTCAAATAGACTTGTACCTCGGGTCTATTCAGTGATATAATACAGGCAATTAGCCATCATCGCATCCTCTACCTCTACATTTTATGAATTGGGAAAGAAATGACATTAAAAAGGAAATGTTGTGTCTCTAAATGAAATATACTGCCTGTGTATTTTATAAATACTATATAGATATTTTCTAAGATGGTATACTATTCAAAGATATAATATTGATAAATATAGAAACAATACTGGTAAAAAAAATAATAGGGATCTCTAAATATATTTTCTTTTCCTCCTAAATTTAGGTTCTTTTCAATGTAACAGTTACAATGAAAGAATGTAAAGTCACAGGAGGAAAAAACTATGCGGTAATCAAGCCTATTGGTTTCAATGAAACCACTAAAATCTATATACACAGAAACTGCACCTGTCAGTGTGAGGACAGTGGAAGACTTAAAAAAAAGTGTGTAGATGAAACTTTCCTAGATTCCAAGTGTTCCCTTTGTGACGAGAACAAATGTCATTTTGATGAAGATCAGTTTTCTTCTGAGAGTTGCAAGTCACACAAGGATCAACCTGTTTGCAGTGGCCGAGGAGTTTGTATTTGTGGAAAATGTTTATGTCACAAAATAAAGCTTGGAAAAGTGTATGGGAAATTCTGTGAAAAAGACGACTTTTCTTGCCCGTATCACCATGGAAATCTGTGTGCTGGTGAGTAGAAACATGTAAGGAAGTTTTTAATAATCACTATTAGACTAACATATATGTTAAAACATCTTTAATCACATCTTCCTAAATTACCAACACTGAATCTGAATTTAGTCCTCAACGTTTCATAGTAACATGGCAACATATTTATAGTTCACGATTTTAATGTTCATACAAGGGAACTTCAAAAAGGTTTGCGGGGAACCAGCAGTTAGCGTAATGGCTATGTCGCTGGACTCCCATGTAGTCGACCGCGGTTCGTGTCCCGGACCCGGTGGCTTAAAACTCACGCCGGGCGCGTGTGCGTGCGTGCCCAAGATCCCGAGAGGAGAATGGAGGAGAAGGGATTGCGGCGTGACCATCCCCCCTGGGGGGTGATTTCTCGCTTTCTGTCTCTATGTCTCTCTCTGTCTGTCTGGCGAGCGCACGCGCCCTACAGTGAAAATCTCTCAAAAAAAAAAAAAAAAAGGTTTGCGGAAAATGGAATTAAAATAGGTGTTAATTTTGGTGCAAAACATTTTTGAAATCTATGCATAGTTTTTTTTTAAAAAAAAAAATACACATTTTCCATGGACTTTTTGAAGATCATTCTTTCCAGGAAATACTTCAAAATAAAAACATAAAATTAGGTTGTTTCTTAAATTTAGTCCTTGATCTTGCAAAGATACAGACCCCAAAAGGAAAAGGAAATGACCAATGATGTCCTATACATTTTCTAGAAGAATTAGGGTGTTCTTCTAGACATAGCTGATTCATTCTGCTAAAGAGTTACTTCCTCTAGCTTGTTCAGAAGGTTTTATTTCTGTTGAAATGATGTAAGCTATAAAAATATACTTTATTAACTGAAAAATTCTTCATGCACTATTATAGATGGTATTGTAGCTTTTCAGTAATTTAAACCCCTCAGATTTGTCTTTGGAACAACATTAGCAAGAAAATTGCCAAAGGAAAGTATTTCTCAAGAAAATACTGGCTTACTAAGTAATCTAGAAGATTAACCCCTGAGACCACACACAGACCAAATTTTAAAAATAAAATATAAAAATTTCAACATTACTTTTCGGCTAATTCTATTTACTGCCACCTAGAGGCTAGTTATCCAGAAAGTCTATGTAACACTTGACAACAGAAAATACTGTTTTTAGATTAATTAAATAAATTGTCATCTGAGTTCTGTGATAATTCTTCTGTGATAGGGTATTAAGTCCACTTATTTTGAAAACATTCTTTAGTATATGCATTTTAGTAAATAAATATTGTTAAATTATTGATGAATGGAAACATTTCATTGTCATAGCATATAGAAAGTATCAAACCTATAAAAAATAAGTTTCCTATTCTTATCTAAGCTAAAAATCTGGCCCATATCACCTAGATATGAAATGGTAAATTGTGCATTTGCCCTATTATATATGTATTTTATATTACAAACATTTATTCAGCTGTTACTGGTATCATGGGTGAAATGGATTATATGAGTAGATAACTATACAATGAACCAGCAAATTACTCTATTTTATAGAGAAGAAAAATATTATTTTGCAGGGAAGAGGAAGAATTTTCCAAGATCATCTTCTACAATTATCAATCTCTCAAAGGCGTTTCAAATACTGTAAGAATTCCAGTCTCTGTTTGCAACGAAATATCAAAAAGAAAAAAAAAATCAATGTATTGGCCCTTCTATATATATGACTATAACACTACTGATCCACACGCAGATGATAATCTGCTTTGAACTGCTTATGAATAAGTTCAAACCGCAGAGTCGGCATGCCTTTTCTACACTAGTGTCTTTAGGGAATAAAAACACATGTTCACAGATCTGCTGGCTGGAATTCAGCATGTAGCCTGGACAGGGGAACAAGGTCTGGCAGATATTTGTTTGGTCTGGACCTCATTAGTTTTACACTCAGCAAATTGAGCTGATCCATCAATGGAGTCTATAGAACAGTTACTATGTAAGATGCTCAGCAACGAAAGAAGGAAGACAGGGAGCAAAAAAAGGGAAGGCATGCCCATATGGCTGACCGCTGTTGAGTCCCAGACCCAGAGGCTTGAAAATCATGCCATGTGTGTGTGTGTTCATGCCCAAAATCTGGAGAGAAGAATGGGGAGAAGAGATTGCTGCATGACCATCCCCCCAGAGAGTGATCCCTCACTTTCTCTATTTCTGTTTCTCTCTCTCTCTCTCTCTCTCTCTCTCTCTCTCTCTCTCTCTCTCTCTCCCTGGCAAGTGCACACGCTCTATGGCAAATAAATAAATAAATAAATAAATAAACAAATTAAAGACAAAAGGGAAGAAAAGAAAGAAGGGAGGGAAGGAGGATTTCATTGGCCTATGGCCAAATAAGCTTAAGAAACACTATATAACCCTGTAAAATAAACTCCTAGTGAAGATTTCTAGTACACATCGACGTACTGAGTTTAGAGAGATTTTTGCTAGAGTGCATGCATTTGCCATAAAGAGACAGAGAAACAGAAAGCAAGAAATCACAACTTCCCAGGGGAGTGGCCATGCCACAATCCCTTCTCCTCCATTCTCCTCTCGGGATTTTGGGCATGCATGCACATGTGCCCTGCACAAGTTTTAAGCCACCAGATCCAGGACTCGAACTGCAGCGGACTACATGGGATTTCAGAGATGTAACCATTACACCATCTGCTTGTCCCAGACGTACTAAATTTAGACACTTGCTGTAGTGTAGAATCAATTACTATGTATGACCAATGTTTCCTCACCTTATCTGCATAAATGCTCTCCCCCAACTCACACACAACCTTCCTTTTTTTTCTGTTTCTGCATTTACCACTCATAACAGTTCACAGCATAGATCAGAATGTGGCCCACTAACCTACTGAAAATGTGAAAGGATTAGTTCGACTTCTCAGAGACCTTTAATGTGACACTAGCTGTACCGCAGCAGTAGTGGTGTTTGCCTCATCGTCCTAAAAAGTTAGCCCATGCTCTTAGCGATAAGAAGAGACTAAATAGATCATGGAAGCCATTAATCAAATACCCTTATTTTCCTTATTTCAAGTCAGACAACATTACTTCAGCCCTTGTGACTTCTTTATATTTGAATGTTTTTTATTTAAAACTGAAATGTGCAGTGACATTTAAGTAATCAGGCAGTCACCAAAGCAGGGGCACCCTTCACACTTATTAACATGATGTATTAGCGTGGGGCAATTATCTACAATGGGCCAGCTTTGAAAACAGATACTGCTCAGTGCTGGCATTGTTTATGTCAGCTAGATATAAAATGATGCTGTTTCCATTCACTTGACTGTCGCTGTGTTTCCATGGAGATAGGAGGGGAATCCGGGTTTGGAAACTTCACAAAGTCAGTGGTCTCAATAACTTAGGTCCTGGAGTATCTTTGTTGCAGGGCATGGAGAGTGTGAAGCAGGCAGATGCGTATGCTTCAGTGGCTGGGAAGGGGATCGGTGCCAGTGCCCATCAGCATCAGCCCAGCACTGTGTCAATTCAAAAGGCCAAGTGTGCAGCGGAAGAGGCACGTGTGTGTGTGGCAGGTGTGAATGCACCGACCCCAGGAGCATCGGCCGCTTCTGTGAACACTGCCCCACCTGTCATACAGCCTGCAACGAAAACTGGTAATATTTCTGTGTCTCCAATCATACATAAAGAAGTCCTTCATGTTTGCTCTTTTAGTCCTGCCTTCCTCAATCTTAAAAGTTGTCGGGCCCAGCCTTGTGACACAGTTGGTGGTGACAAAATGAACAGCACTACTAGAAGCCACATGGTCAACCATAGGCTTATGCACAGTCCCCAAGAGCCTAAGGTGCTGGAAGGCTTGGGAAAAGAGTTTGCAGAGTTTTTTGGTGCAAAAAAAAACAAACAAACAAACAAACAAACAAGTTTTTGTAAACAGGTGCTGCCTGTTACCCAGCTTACTATTACTTAACTGTGTGATCTAGGACAAGTTGTTGAAATTCTCTGTGCTTCAGTTTCTTCATCAAAAGTAAGGATAATAATACCTTACTAGATTTCAGTGAAAAAATTAAATGATTCCTGTTTTTTACAAAAAGAAACCTTACTATTTGATGCATGGTTATCATAGAATAATTAGTTATTAATATAATATCTATTTTATATTTGATACATTAAGATAAAGGACGATGTGGCTATTAGGAATTCCAGAAAGAAGTAATATATAAATGAAAGGTGATACATTAAATGAAAGTGGCATTACTGTTTGTGCCAATAATTTTCCAATAATTTGAGATCTGTTCAAAAACGAATTGAGATCTGTTCAAAGGCTACTAACCTAAATACTATTGTACATTTCTATTTGCTTTATTCAAATGTTTAAAATATTCACTTTCTTAGCTCATTAGCTCAAGTGAGCTTTTTAGACTTAAAAAGCTTTATGCATGGTAGGTTCCTTAAATGATTTGGAAAAGCAGTAACTTTGACACCATAAAGTTCTTTCTAATGAACCTCATCAAAATTTAAACTGTCTCTTCATTCTTACTTTGTTATTTTAGTTCTCACAGAAAATATGACCATCTATTAGCTTTTTAAGAACGAATGTTTTCACTTCTCCTTCTCCTTACAGGAATTGTGTGCAATGCCTCCACCCTCACAATCTGTCGCAAGCTATACTTGATCAGTGTAAAGCTTCGTGTGCTCACACGGGACAGCATTTTGTGGACCAAACATCAGGTAAACCAAAGCTTAATATTCAAAGCGCTGAGGAGTATCTGCAGAGGACCATGTTCTCCCAAAAGGCCTACAGATAATCATGCTAATGAAAGGATTGGTGGTTTCCATTTTGTTTTGCTTTTTTTTTTTTTCATTATGTAACATTGCTTTATTTTTAAAATAGTTTTATTGAGGTATCATTGTTATATAAAAACATGTATACATTAAGGTACACAGTTTAATGAGTTAGTGATTAATTTCTTTTAAATCACTCAAAGATGGTATTCTTTGTGATTAGGTTTCCTTACCTCATCCACACAGCTTAATTTCCATGCTGTGTACCTCCATGGATGGACATCCAAATAAATAGGCAAGGGAGGCCTCAGTGAGCCAAAACCCAGAGTTCCCCATGTAGATTCATTGCACTGAGAGTAAGGTCTGTGGAGCCATCATTTTCTTCCTCCCCCTAAATGTACTTCCAGTCCTGACAGTACTCATGCATAATCAACATTGATTTTCATGTTTCAGGGAAAGCCAAAAAGTCCTAAGTAGCAATGATCTACTTTTGCAAAATACCAAACTTTTTAAAACGGCCATTTTCCCTTGTACTTTTCATTCTGATATAAATACAGCCTAGGCATGAATGATTATTAATGTGGCAAGATGCAAAGGGTATGGAACTTTTGATCTGAAGACTCTGGCTTAGAGCATGGCCCGTTAACATTGCTTATTAGTCAAGAAATATCCACCTTTGGGAACCAGCAGTTAGCGTAATGGCTATGTCGCTGGACTCCCACATAGTCAACCGCGGTTCGCGTCCCGGACCCAGTGGCTTAAAACTCATGCTGGGCGCGTGTGTTTGTGCCCAAGATCCCAAGAGGAAAATGGAGGAGAAAGGATTGAGGCGTGAACATCCCCCCTGGGGGGTGATTTCTCGCTTTCTGTCTCTATGTCTCTCTCTGTCTGGCAAGCACACGTGCCCTATAGCAAAAAAAAAAACTCTCCAAAAATAAAGAAATATCCACCTTTCTGCAGACTTTTCTAGAGACTGTTTTTTCCTCTGTAAAATTGAGATTATTATGCCAACCTGAAAGCATTGTGTAACATTAAATGAGCCAGTGAACAGGAAAGCTATACCTAAAGTAAAAAATGACACATAAGTGACATCAAAGACTGTTTTTTGAACAGAAGTTCACGAGAACCTGAAAACCCAGAACTCCACTTTGTACAAACGTAAGCTGTGAAACTACCCATGAATTAGCTATGAAGTGTTCACTGAAACTATTCCTGTGGCTGTTTCTTGCAAGTGTGTCTTCCAACCTGCAAGAAAAAAATCCAAGCTCTTAGAGATTGCACAGAAGGATAGACTTTCTCCAGTTTTTGTTTCTTTTTCCCCGCACCCACATTGATCTTATCCCATAATAAATTTGGCCCTGAAAACAGTCCCGTTTGCTGCCAGCTGGGGCCTGCAGCAATCCTCTAGAAAGCCAAGTGCCTTTGCTAATAAATAGAGCCCTTAGTGCCCACATGTCATTTATTATGTCAAGTAAACACTACTCTGACTGAAGCGTGGTTACAGAAAGTATTTCCTTAAAGCTCCATAGGAAAAACCCTGGCTTGAGCCAAACTAAGAAAAGCATGAGCCAGGGGTAAATGTTTGGCTATCCATAACAGCATTCTACAGTGCAGATCAATTCGAGTCCTGCAGATGCTCTCAATCCTAACCTACTAAAAATATTTCTAAAATGTATCAGTAGCCAGGGAGCTCCCCTCCCCTTCACAACTATCACATAAAGAGAGGGACAGGGCATTTATTAGGCACCTCTATTATCTATCCACTCAATCACACTTAAAGGCGGTTCTTTGGTCTCTCTGGCTAAGCTCCTCCTGGGAGAGAAGCCAGTAAGAGGAGTCAAGCCATGTGCCCCCCTCTGAGGCACTGCCTCAACTGACTGAGTCATACTAAATAAGCCAAGGGAAATGACAATCTTTCAGGACAAAGGGAAAGTGTATCATCAACTCAGAAGGTCGCTGTGAAAGACTCAAGGGTACCTACCATTCTTTGTTTTAAATAATTATTTTTATTTAACTTTATTTTATTTATTTATTTTAATTTGACCAGAGAGGAACAGAGGGAGAGCGAGCTAGAGAGAGACAAAGTGAGAAAGCCTGATCCGAGACTTGAACCATGGTCAGCCATGTGGGAGTCCAGCACAACTATCACATAAAGAGAGGGACAGGGCATTTATTAGGCACCTCTATTATCTATCCACTCAATCACACTTAAAGGCGGTTCTTTGGTCTCTCTGGCTAAGCTCCTCCTGGGAGAGAAGCCAGTAAGAGGAGTCAAGCCATGTGCCCCCCTCTGAGGCACTGCCTCAACTGACTGAGTCATACTAAATAAGCCAAGGGAAATGACAATCTTTCAGGACAAAGGGAAAGTGTATCATCAACTCAGAAGGTCGCTGTGAAAGACTCAAGGGTACCTACCATTCTTTGTTTTAAATAATTATTTTTATTTAACTTTATTTTATTTATTTATTTTAATTTGACCAGAGAGGAACAGAGGGAGAGCGAGCTAGAGAGAGACAAAGTGAGAAAGCCTGATCCGAGACTTGAACCATGGTCAGCCATGTGGGAGTCCAGCACCCTTAACCATCACGCCATCTGCTGGCCCCCCTACCATCTTTAAACAGTGCATTTTGGAATCTCTCTCTTTGTAGCCTATAACACCAGCTTTAGCTGTCTCCATTCCAATTAGGAGCCCTCAGATCTGCCTTAGGCCTTTCTTTCGAGATGTTTTTTATCTCTGTCCACAAGAAAACTGGGCTCTATTATATCTTCCCAAGTGGAACCCTTGACCTTGTCACTGAGCTCTCGCCTTATTCAAGAACATTTTGGTCATCGCTGGAAATTTAAAACCAAATCACTCATAACTAAGTGATGCACTGTCTTAAGCCATGGCAGTCCCTCCCTTAGAGGCCTTCTCACCAAGACCCTCACCATTTAAATGATGCCCCTGAAGTCTGGAGAATGAGCAGAAGAACACATGCATCTTTGATCCAGAAAATGATTTTATGAATCTGGGCAGCTGGAGAGTTCTGTGGAATACTTGCCTATTGTGCAACCATGTTCCTCTTAGATTAGGGTAATACCTCTGGCAACAACAGCCTGTAGACTTTCCAACAAGAGTTTGCCAAAGGGCCGGTGCTAAAATAGAATCCTAGCATGCCCCTCCTATGAACATGGCATTTCTTTTTCCAGCTACTAATTATTTGTCCGTGGAAAAATACATGGTAAATTTTGGGAAGCAAATCGTATATAGATTTGGTTAGCAGACAAGCACACAGTAAATTAATAAAAAGTAATGAAAGCGATTTGCATAATATCCTAAATTGGACCCTCCTATTTCCTGGAGAAGCCCTGTGTAATACCGAAGACTTAAACTGCAGTTTCAGAGGAAATATTTACTCATCTGTTAGAGTGGAACTGATTTTAGCTTCTGGAGATGTTTACTTTATTTTCCATTACTGGTGCATAGCAAATAAAGAGCAAGCATAGCAAGAGAAACATATGTTAATGAACAGAGCTGTTAAATAATATTTTGAAATCCTGTTTTCTACTTACTTGTACATGCCACAAAAACTTTCCCTCTGTCATGAATAATTTTTAGTTAAGGGACTTAAACATATCCTTGTTAATACAATTATGGAATCAAGTGGCCAAAAAAAAGAAAAAAAATGTTTTTCAACACCTTAATGGTGGCTATTCCCCAAAGGAAAGTTTTCTGTTCAAATTATTTTAATAACAAATGTACAATAAAAATAAGAGAATTTACTTTTTGGGTCAACAGTAATTTTAGATGTCCCATTTTGAAAATAGAGATTTGCAAATATCTCTGGTCTTATTAATTGGGATGAGAACATCATTTACTTGATATAATACTTGGATTTACTCATTCTCCATGTTTTAATCCATTTATTTGTTTGCTTCATTACAGAATGTTTCTCTAGCCCAAGCTATTTGAGAATATTTTTCATCATATTCATAGTTACATTTTTGATTGGATTACTTAAAGTCCTTATCATTAGACAGGTGATTCTACAATGGAATAGTAATAAAATTAAGTCCTCATCAGATTACAGAATGTCAGCCTCAAAAAAGGTCAGTAAAATTAAAAAAAAAAAAAAAAAAGAATTACTACCAGTATGTTAATGTCTAGTTATAATATTTAGGCCCTAAATTAATAAAGCCATTTCTTCTCCATCAAGGATAAGTTGATTCTGCAAAGTGTTTGCACAAGAACAGTAACCTACCGACGTGAGAAACCTGAAGAAATAAAAATGGATATCAGTAAATTAAATGCTCATGAAAATTTCAGGTGCAACTTCTAAAAGACATTTAAAAAAAAAAACAACTTTATGGGAAACTGGATTTTTTTATATAATTGCTCCTAAGAATTATAATTTTAAAAGTCACAGGAGGAGAGAAATTGTTCAAGATCATGCCAGTTGCTGATTGTACTCTCGGATGAAGACTGACAAGCATCCTCATCATCATGTGACTCACATAGCTGCTGAATTTGCCAGAGAAAAAATGTGTCTTACTACTGTTTGAGACTAGTGTCATTGTAGCACTTTACTGTAATATATAACTTATTTAGATCAGCATAGAATGTAGATCATCTGAACAGCACTGATTACACTTTACAGGTACCTGCCACTCCTATGCTTCCCAGCAAGAGACAATGGTATGAGATAGCTGAGCATTGTGTCACTACAAGGGTACAGTAATCCCTGCACGGAACTTGTGGATGTAAAAACGAAATGGTCCGGCAATTCTATACGAATGTTGCCAAATACATACTGATGTTGCCAAGTACTTCAACAATTGGCAGTAAATAGACAAGAACTGCTAGATTAAGCAATGGTTAGTGTGTCACTTGCTCAAGAAGTGAATAGACAGAATCTTCATCTTAAGGGATACTGCTTTTAAAACTGTAGTTTTATGCATGTATGTTGATGTTTTCTTCCTTATTACAAGATGGATACTAATTCCAACCTTCATTCCTTTTTGCCTTTATGTTTTGTTTTACTTCCTTACAGGATAAATTTATAAGTGTCAAAAATGACTGGATTAAATAAGTGCTATGTTACTACTGCCTTGAGAACCTAATAATACAATGTCACTTTATTAGAATGTTGGTTTTAACAGGTGAATGTCAATAAGGGATACTATAAAGTATTATCAAAATCTGAATAACTTTATATTTTGCAGATATGGAGTTTTGTATCTTCTTACCTGGTAAACTGGAGGGATTTTTGGACCATTTTTGTCTAAATCATTACATTGAAATTCACAAGCTATTTAGAAACTGCCTCAAGCAGAGTGCCACACTATTGAATGATTTTTTTTTCAGATTTTGACTCCAAGTAGATACCATTTTTCAAATGAAAAGCTGTATTATTTTTGCCCTTCAATGCAGCCTACAGACATTCCCTGAATCACCGTGACTCTATTCACCAGTATTCATAAAAGCATAAAATTGGAAGAGAATAGGTGAGATCTTAAAAATAAGTGAATTCATTCTTTAATCAGGCAACTGAGACTCAGAAAGTTTAAATGATTTCTCAGAATACACCCACATGATAAAGCGGCAGTATTAGAGAAGACCTTTAACCCTCTTATTGCCAGGCCAGTGTTTATTATACAATATCGTGCTACCTCTTGAATCTGTAAAATATACAATTGGAAAATATTTCTTAATGTGCTTTCTTAACTTTGGGGCATGAGAAAATTTCAAAGCAAAATAGAAAAGAGTAATTCAAACTGAATTGTCCAAAATCTGCTCCCGGTCTTCCCTGCTCATCGGTTTCTGAGATTGCAACATGGCATAACTGTGAAGGAATTCCCTCACAGCACAGCCTTCATGAACAGTACTCCTTGGTGTTATATCATGCTCAACCTTTGACCTTGATAGGAAGGCAGTGAGCACTGGCTTCCCAAATGGAAAGTTCTTCACAATTACCATGCCCTTGTGGATTTATTTGGTCTGATTTTATTGTCCAACAGTCCTGTGTACAGTATAGGGTTTTGCCTGTTATGACAAAGGAATATACTTAAGATATCATCTTAAAATTAACTTTCCAGATTTACTGTCCTCTAACACTCAAGTTAAAGTACTAGATACTTGCATTCTGATGAAAACTTAGTCTACATCCCTTAGTCGACCCTAAAGAGGACTCAAAACAAAAATAAAAACAAAAAACTGTTTTGGAGCCAACAAATGCAGCAGCTCTAGTAACTGTCCTCTCGAGCTAAGCAATTATGACGGTAAATTAAACTGCATTTCCTTCCTAAATGAGAGATTGGTGACATTAACAAGTACAGTACCGTGACTTACTTATGTAACAAACCTTTAATCACTGAGGAAGATGTAAAAATTGTATTCGGGAGCTGATCTCACATTTTTAAAAAGGAAAATAAAGATAGCCCTCACACACAAAGAGGAAAAAGTAGAAGATCCCCATTAATTAGAATGCTCATAATTTTTAATTACAGTGTTTATGAACAATAAACTCATTTTCATATAGAATGAATTATCGAAAAGAGCATAATAACATGAAATATTTAAAAACCTAGGATGTATATTTTTCCCTCCGTCACTAGTTTGCACTAACTCTGTAACAGACCAAGGCTGTTATAGAAAGGAATAAACTTCCTTAGAGACCATTCGATGCTATTTATAGGTGACGAATGTAGTTTTGCTTGTCATAGCCTATGCTTTTTCTTTTTCTTAAAGAGCTAATTTTTAAAGTTTTAGGGCTTATACTTTACTTGAATAACTGATTATTTTCCTGTGTAATGGTTTGTGAGAAGAGAATTAATATTTGACTAGTTAGAATTAGTTAAAACATAAGGGTAAACAGGGTATTTTGAGATTAAATAATTTATGTAAATAGAGCCTATTTCAACTATTATGACCACAGGAGCCTTTTGAGATATTCAACACAATTAGTGACATTTTAAGTTGTTGATGAAATTAAGAACTTGAACAATGCTTTGGTACGGCAGCAGTTTTGTGCCCTAAAGTATGTAATAATCTAGAAATGTCCCATATACACTACGACATAACTGTCTGCATTTTTTTTAAGAGAGGTGAGGTTTTTTGGTTTTTTTTGTTTTTTTTTGTTTTTTGTTTTTTGTTTTTTTGCTATAGGGCGCATGCACTCGCCAGAGAGAAAGAGAGACAACCCATTTGCATTTTATTTAGGGATATCTTTACACTGCAGTGTACATGTATTTATAAGCATTTAATATATGTTTGGAAATTTGCTAATATTTATAAAGCCTAAGCATCTCTGGAAGACTAAGCATCTCAAAAATTCACTAAAAATCTGATTATGTTCTCAGTGTTCAATTTAGCTTTGGTTGATTAAAATGACCCCCCCCCCAAAAAAAAATCAAAGGTTGAACAGAATAGATATCTGTGGAGGCAAATTTTTCAAACTTGAAATTAAAATTAGTGGATGCACCAGATGTAACTTCACCAAAGAATAAATCCGTAGTAATTTTAAATATTTACTTAATTTCCATTGAAGATACTCTTATGTCTGACAAGAGGAGACAATGAAATTTGTTATGATAGACTATGAACATTTCTCTCCATAGAATTATATTCCTCTTGTTACCCGGTAGAAAAGATTAGACTCAATGACTTTTTCCTTACTCCTGTTTTATTCCACCAACTTTTCCCAAAAGATTGTTCTAAAGCTTCAAGCTCAATAAGTCTAACTGGGAAAAATAATGGAACGTAAAGGCATAATGAAGTTCTTCACTTCCAAGCATCTTTTTTTGATTTTAAAAATCACTTGAATCTATGCTCCTTCTCAAAGTCAGATATATTACAAAACAAGAATTTTAAATTTTCACTATTTGAATTCTGCTTTCATTTTAAAAACGTTGAGATACATGTGTTTTCTTAAAAGTAAGCAAAATACAGTTACTTGGGAGTCTAGTCATGTGCATATTGTATTCTGTTTTGCTAAGTCTTAATAATTAAATTTTGAGTACCTTATCTCTATGGGCCTTAAGAACTCTTATTTGAACAATGCAAACTGAGATATATTTTCAAAGAAATATGAAACACTCAGATCATTTCTAATTTTTTATCATTCCTCTCTAGCAATTTATTACATGTAACTGATCATGCATATTCCTATTTTGATTCTAAGACAACTACTTTTTCGATTTGAAATTGTGACCTACCTTGCCACTGCTGATGTATTTTATTGTTGGCAGTATTTTAAATTGTGCTTAAATAAATATTACACTAATTCAAATTTAATTAAATAGATATGGGCATAGGACATTTCTTATAAATATCTGTAAACTTATTTATGATAACATGTGAAGCCAACGTTTAGTACAACTGAATCATGTACAATTCAGTATGGAGTCTAACTGACTATCAGCTCAGATTCCACATATCATTAGGTTACAAAAGCTCTTTCAGGCTCCTGTTTACACTTTTTGGTAGTTGGTGAAGTTTTAGCAGACCCTATCATAAATGACAAGGATGGGTGGGGTTTTTATAATTTTATTAACAAATTTGTATTCTATCAATTACTTTCTAAGATATCTTCTTATATGATCATCTCACTTTTTAACTGGAATACTCTACACAAAACCATCATAATTAGATTTTGTAGCATCTTGTATGTCTTACTCAATTAGCAGGAGAAAAACGTAATACAACCAACCAGTGCTATGGAAAACACATTTCTTCTCCAGTCTTTCTACTTTTTTTTTTTTTTTTTGGAGAGGTTTTTGCAATAAGGAACGTGCACTAGCAAGAAAGACAGAGAGAGAAAAAGCGAGAAATCACCCCCCCGCGGGGATGGCCACGCCGCAATCCCTTCTCCTCCATTCTCCTCTCTGGATCTTGGGCACGCACGCACATGCGCCCAGCATGAATTTAAGCCACCAGGTCTGAGACTCTAACCACGGTCGGCTACATAGTAGTTCAGCAGCATAGCCATTACGCTAACTGCTGGTCCCAGTCTTTCTACTTTTTTATCCATCATTTCTGTTCCTTTGATATTTTCCCCCCTTGGCTTTGATAAGTTTACATTTAAGTCCCTGAAATGACTGTTGCAAAACTGCATACTTAAATTATTCCAACTCTATGAAACAATTGTTCAGCTATCTGGGCAGCTTTCAATGAAATACCTGAGAATAATAACACTACTCTTTTATCTACCTGGAATTATTTTCTATATGAAATTTATCTTTGTAAGCTAAATCTCTTAATTAGGTTTCTTAACTCTACAACCCATGTCTGTTAAAAATTGTTTAACAAAACAATATTTAAAAAAAAAACACGGCAGTCATCAAAGATAGAAAATGATTTATGTAAAGAACTTTTACCAACTTTATACTGTTCCATGGTTAATGTGATTATGATAAAAATTCTACACAATGACATGTTGGTACATATATTTTATTGATAATATTGAGCATGCAATATTTTACTTCTAAATTATAAGAAACTATAAATTTGCACATATTAATATAGAAATTCACTTTGTGTATATTTAACACACCTTAAAAACTACCATTTATCAACTACTTTATTAAAGTTTTTTAAACCTCTGCCAAAAAAAAACTTTGGAAATGTTTTAAATGACAAGCAATATAACCTTATTTTTGTTTCACTTAACATGTACTGCCTTTGTAAAAGGAAATTTAATATAGAGTGTATTTTTAAATTAAAATATTTTAATATGAAATAGCTCTAAGAAAGAAATAAATTCTTGCTGAACATGTTTCTCATTATTTCTGGCTTTGAATTACACATAATGTTAAACTGCCTTACAATGATATGGAAGATTGGGGAATATGATCATTTCACATAATATACTATGAACCTGTCTATGTAACTCTGACTACTAACTTCTGTTTTATGTATTTATTAAAGAGCTGACACTGTAGTTTGTTGTGAGATGTTTATTTTTTTAACAGAGCTTATAATGGTATGACAAGGCATTTAATTAATGTACCATTCCGTTTAAAAAGTAGGTGTTAATCAATATGGAATTTTGTTTTAAAATAAAAATGCAAAGATCTAAGAATACAGAGAATGCTTCTTTATTTGTCGTGTGCTGCAACCCTAAGCTGCCATTCAGAGGCATACTGTCACCCAAGGAAATGTAATAACATATACCCACTGTCATTGGCAGAAAAAATTACATAATTCCAAAAACTACTACTTCTAGAAAATTGTAGCGCTAATACTGAAGAGGTGGGTCCATCCTAGTCCCTCTTTTCCTTTTTGATATCTGCCCCAAAACAACACAGGGAATAATATTCTAATGACAAAGAACAGAATAGTTAGCTAAACATCAAAATGGTCTTTTTCTACCTGCCAGAAACTTCTACCATCGCCTTGATACAATTACATTATTTATAAACTTCCATTGCATTTTCTACAGTCATACTCAATCAAAGTTACTAAATATTACGTATGGTAATCTTCCTTTAGAGAGAGTAAAGCAGAAGAATGGGGGGCACATTAAACATTAAATAAGGCAGGAAGAGAGAGTCCCTGGCCTTAAGAAGCTTTTAATAGTTTTTTTTTTTTTTTAGAGGTTTTTTCTATAGGGCGCCTGTAATAACATATACCCACTGTCATTGGCAGAAAAAATTACATAATTCCAAAAACTACTACTTCTAGAAAATTGTAGCGCTAATACTGAAGAGGTGGGTCCATCCTAGTCCCTCTTTTCCTTTTTGATATCTGCCCCAAAACAACACAGGGAATAATATTCTAATGACAAAGAACAGAATAGTTAGCTAAACATCAAAATGGTCTTTTTCTACCTGCCAGAAACTTCTACCATCGCCTTGATACAATTACATTATTTATAAACTTCCATTGCATTTTCTACAGTCATACTCAATCAAAGTTACTAAATATTACGTATGGTAATCTTCCTTTAGAGAGAGTAAAGCAGAAGAATGGGGGGCACATTAAACATTAAATAAGGCAGGAAGAGAGAGTCCCTGGCCTTAAGAAGCTTTTAATAGTTTTTTTTTTTTTTGAGAGGTTTTTGCTATAGGGCGCATGCGCTTGCCAGACAGACAGAGAGACAGAGAGACAGAAAGCGAGAAATCATCCCCCAGGGAGGATGGTCACGCCACAATCCCTTTTCCTCCATTCTCCTCTTGGGATCTTGGGCACGCACGCACATGCGCCCGGCATGAGTTTTAAGCCACCAGGTTCGGGACACGAACCGCGGTCAACTACGTGGGAGTCCAGTGACATAGCCATTACGCTAACTGCTGGTTCCCAAGAAGCTTTTGATAGTTTGAAAGAAAAAGTATGTGCAACACACTTTTACACAGAAGGCTTGTGCTGAGAGATCAAATGGAAACTATCAGCAGAACTCAAGGCCTTTGTTTCTGAGAATGCATCTCAGTTGTGCTGGACTACAGTCTCAGAATCTTGATTTCACTGTTAATTGATTTCGTGTTAACTCCTGTTATGAGTGTTAATTGACCCCATTTTTTTATTATATTTATTTATGTATTCATTGAGGGACAGATAAGACAGAGTGAGACAGGTATTCCAACTGGGTCTTCATTCCACAATTTACCCTCAGTCCTGGCAATTCAGATCATGCACACACACATGCCTGCACTCCTGACATGTACAGGGAGACATTAGGAATGAATCCAAGACCTTTCAACATCTGTCTGGTTTCAGCATTGGAGAGCCTGGCATTACCACTGCACACTGCATCTGACCCCTAACTCCATTCTTTCCTTCTCCCTTCAGTAAGAGGCCCACTCTCCTGCATCCCAGCAGAACATCCAACTGAGATTGAAATTTCCAGACTCCTCTGCAATTAAATGTGGTCATAGGATTAAATGTTGGCCAGTGGGACAGGAGAGAAAGTGGCATGTGAACTGCAGGTCTCACTTCCTCTCTTTCTCTTTTTGTCTGGGACACCTGGAGCAAAGGAAGCTCTGTGTTGACATTGTCACCTTCCCACTGCTCACCTCAAGAGTGGTCCTTGACAGGAAAACCATTTAAGCTAAACCACTGCATTTGATGTTAGAACAGAAAATCTGTACGCTGATAATGTATTATTTACATAACTGTCTCCCTGAGTCCTCAGCAACACAAAGTACCATTTTCCTTAAATTTTCAAATAAAGAAATGCACAGAGTTTAAGGATCTATACAAATCCATGTAGCCAGTGGTCAAGGCATACCCAGATCTGTTTTTCTCTAAATGACTGATCATACATATTGTGAGGGTAGACTTTATTAGTTCATTATCAGAGGTTAACCTTTCTCCATGTACCTCATAAAACACATGCAATACATAAAGTTGAGAAGCTGATATATATATATGCAAATACTACACAGGAAACATGTGAACAGGCATTGAAGAGACAAAGTGTTCACTTAGATACCAGAGTTAGGAGAGCTAGAATAGGTCAAAGCCCAAGAAAAACAGCACTAGGGCTAATCCTTGCAGGAAAGGTGAATGTGGATGTGCAGGAGTGAGAGATAAGGGGGATCTAGGGGAATGAGAAAGCATTAACGAAAGGAAAAGAGTGGGGACTCCGCCCAAGAACATTTAAGTCTTGTTAAGATTATCCAAGACAGTCTTGGATAATGAATGGCACTAACCTATGGGTAGGTTATAGATTACTTGATTAGCAAACTAAGCGTCTTGAACTTTGGTTACTAGGAAAGCGTAAACACTAAGATTTTTACACAGAAAAATGCTATTATTAGAATTAAATATGGTTGGCATATGCCTACAAAAACTAAACATAATTTTTAAAAATTCATTTTTATATTCTCTAGCACTAAATGTAAACACTAATGAATATTTAATGCTATTAAGTGCTCTTTAATGCTAGCATAAAAATTGGAAGCAAAGTATACAAAAGCAGAAAAAATTCAGCATTGGACTGCTGATAGCATTTTTATATGTGGGTGCATTTTATTTTATTTTTCTATGCACTTTACAACTACCGCTATGCAAATAATGCATGTTTATTGTGAAATATAAAAAAACTAGACATTAAAATTAGATATTACTCTAATCCAACCATCCAAAAGTGGCCACTGCAGTATACTGGGTTGTCAGAAAAGTCATGACACATTTTTTCTACGTTTTTCTATGCAAAATGATTATGACTTCTCCAACAACTCAATATTTTCTCTATATGTTTTTAAACATACCCACACCCACTCACCTACTCCCACACATATATATATATGCACCTATTTGCATAAACTAAAGAAGAAATAAAAAGCCTGATGCAAAAAGTTTTTTTTTCTTGAAAACACCTTCTCATGTTAAGATTTATTATTTGAATAAGAGAATGTTATTGTATCCATGAATGTGCCACAACCATAGCTCTTACATTTGTTAAGAAAAGAATAAGGTCCAGTCTCAGTGGTGCACACTGCTAAGTTATTATGCTTTGCAGGCTGGAGCCACATGGGAGACCCAGGTTTGAGTTCCAGTACAACCTAAAGACTGGGTATGGTGGCAGCCTGTGCTTGAATGCCAGTGTAGCAAGAGGCTGAGGGAGAAGGATGGCAAGCTTGATGCTGGCCAGGGCACATAGCAAGATGGTGTCAAAAAGAGAGAGCCTGCCTTGGTGGTTATTGTCCCAGCGAGGGGGCTGACATGCAAGACTCTTTTTTTTAAAGAGGTTTTTGCTATAGGATGTGTGAGCTTGCCAAAAAGACGGAGAGAGACAGAGAGACAGAAAGCGAGAAATCTCCCCCCAGGGGGCATGGCCGTGCCACAATCCCTTCT